CCCATCTGTCAACCCCCCTCCCATCTGTCATCCCCCCTCCCATCTGTCATTCCCCTCCTGCATCCCCATCTGGCAATGGTTATAAACTGTCTTCTTGACTAAGCACATACACGCACCTGTAATAAATGTCACCTACCTGTGAGTAAGCTGACTTGGCATGCTTCAGGATGCTGATGACATCTCCCATGATGCTCACTCCCATGTCCTTCAAGTAGTCCTTGGTCAGATCCATCAACATGCTCTTGTCAATGCGGTTATCGATGAAGGCCATGGCGTACTTGGCCGCTGGCCCCGGGGGTATGCCCGCAGCGGTGAAGAACTTGATCCACTCCGACATTTCTGCAAGGGAAGTTAAGGTTTACTTGCTCCACAAAAACAGGTTTGCAAAAGTTAAATTAAATGTGTTACATTAACTATTGATGGTATAATCAAGCCTGTTTTTAAAGATTTATTTAATTAATTGCAATCTCTTTCATTTTGCATATTTATCAGGGGGAAAAATTTCTTAAATAATAACCACAAGAACAAGTCACTTTGGCAAAGTTTTGGTAATATTTTTAAGCTAGCCATCAAAGAGTTAACAGGGCCCATCATTTTTCTTATTCTAGACTTTTAATTAACACAGCATATTTGACAGACTAGTGTAGTATGCAGTCTGTAGGTATGATAAACTCACCATGTTGCCATTACGTTATGATAAATAATTTAACCATCCCCCCTCCGCAGTGAATTTTAACTATCTTGCTTTCAGAATAGCTCATGAATACTTAGCAGGGTCTTACTATAAACTTACATGTACTGCATTAAAGCTAAACCTCACATATGCCAGCATGGGATAGTCATGGTAGTGGGCAAAGCATGACATGACACTGTCCAAAGTGATCCATGATGCAAAATAATCTTGTTTAGTCATGTCAGTCCATACACAGACATCACAGCCATTTGACACCCTGTGCACAAACCCTAGGAGACTAGTCTGAAGCACTTGACACCCTGTGCACAAGCCCTAGGAGACTTGTCTGAAGCACTTGACACCCTGTGCATACAAAAAGCCTAGGAGACTAGTCTGAAGCACTTGACACCCTGTGCACAAATCC